AGAATGGGGACACAACTTTACCACTTTCAAAGTGATAAAGATAGAGAGATGGTGGCCTCGTAGAATCGAATTTGGGTGTTTTCAGACCAAAGACAGTAGTTTAAGTTCCTGGCAAACAGGAAATATTACGCATTGGTATCAAAGATTATCAAGAGGGAGGGAACGAAGAGATGTTTGCCCGACCCCCCCTCCTAACACAACACTAAAATATGATTCCTTGTCCATGATAGGAGAGAGTCACATGTGGCAGAAAGTAAAAGATAATGTGATTAAATGGTTATCAAAAGTACCACCTGCAATGTCTGATCCCCTGGCTGAGGCAGAGGAAGGTGAAGAGACCGTTCCTCTCTTTCTAGAGCCCGGTGTGCGGGGTAAGAGATCTACTTCAGACTTAGCTCGACTCTTACGTAAAGGTCATAGTGAATATGCAAATTATACAGGATATCAGAATTATATACTTCCCACTAATAGTACATATTTTAACTGGACATTTTTCTGCCTCCATAATGAGGTAGGCCTTCAGCCTCAAGGATGGGAACTGCATCCAATACGACACACTCTTTATACAGAATGGGTTTATGAGGTTCCTAATTTTAAACACCCAAAAGTAGTGCAATGGATGAAAAAGGATCAATCTGATCCCGCTAACTTAGATACAGGATTTCATGCATGGAATGAAGAAACTAGACTCTGTTTAACCAGGAAAGCGAATAATAGCGCTGTATGGCAAGGAGGCGAGCCACTTAGAATAAGGATCGCAGGAGCATATTACCAAAAAGGTACAGCTACTCCTGATAGTATAATTGAGGCAGACTCCATATTCGAAGCAGTAAATGAAATGATTAGACCAACCCATAAGAAAGATTTTTATCACAGTCCCACATGGGCTAGAAATTACACCTTAATGCTTGAAGGATGTCAGGCGGAAGTCTGTAATAATACTAAAGGGTTAACTAGAAGGATGTGTATTTTTTGGTATTCACAACTATATGGATTAACAGTTGGAGGTCTGCGTCCAGACACATTAGGAGATCGAGAGTTTTTTAAACCTAGGCCTCCTTATCTAAACATAGCTACTTTAGGAACTGGAGAATTATGCTATAAAGTCTTACGTGGTTATATGCAAAGAGATATTCCAGAAGATTATAGATATTATAGAAAAGGAATGTACGAGACATATCCTATGACATACTGGTATGGAGAGGGATATAATAAGCAAAAATATGATTATTACCCCCAGGACACAAGGATTGAAGCAGAAACCTTTGAAAGAAAATTAGTGGGAACTAAAACTCTTGTGATGGAACATGGTCAACTTCGAGTTAAAACAAATTGGTTTTCTATTGATAAAACAAATACTTGGGAAGTAAATGATACAAAAACAGGAAATGGTCTTTTAGATCGTATAATGATTATGAATGATAAAGTTGGAGACTTAGTGCCACCTGGATTTACAGCGCCAGGAACGACGAAATGGGGAGCGTTTAGTCTGGTCAATTTTAATTACCTTAACGGGTTAGGCATAGACCATCATGTGTGTTTTAATGAACCAAGAATAGGGAAAAATCCTCAACCTGAAAGATTCACAATTGACCCTGATGCACCCAAAGAGTTTCCTAACTTCAGAAATTTCCCAAATTGGGATCTGAGAAGTGGTTTTTGCTCACCATTTCGAAGATCGTTAGATCAGCAAAAAGCTGACTGGTTTGATTATTTTGCATATGGCATAAATGGCACATTACGTCATGTGAGTCTGATAGTACGTGGTGTGAATGAAATTATGAGTGACAGTGTAGTGCAGGTTTCTAACAATGTAATTCAAGGAACTTCTGATTCAATGGGCATGTTGGTAAAAGGAGTGAGAGAGCACATCATTAGGCCTGTCTGGGACGCTCTGTTCTGGCCTCTGTGCGCTCTAGGATTGATGTGTGGGGTGATTATTTTAATAATCGGTATGATTTTGGCCTGTAAAAACAACAAATGGCAGTTGACAGGAAGAAAGCTGTTAGGAGAAAGGAGAAAGGACCTGGTAGATCCAGATAAGATGGGAAGAGAGGTGTCAAGGTAGAGGGAGTATTAGCCCCCCTTCTTGTTGCTCCTGTTTAAGTGCAAGGCCTCTCTGCACCGCGTGTCACTTGCTCCTTAACTGTCAGTCTGTAACTTGAAGTGAACCAATGGCTCATCAAACTCACCCTGAATCTGAGCTGATTGACGCTCTGAATCTGGAGGTATGTCAGGATTTTGTAACTATTTTATCCAGTTTGTCTTTAGGATGTTGTAGACATTTCATAACTGGTGTACACTTGTTGTGAGGATTATTGTTGTAAAACTATGCCTGCAGATAGGAATTGTAGTGTGGTTCTTCCTGCAGCTTCTGATGATTTATTTTCTCCTATAATTAAGAAGTGTTTATGCAGTAATGCAGTTACTTATTGCTTCATGGAATGAGTTATATATCTCATGTGGAACAAATTTTATGTTCCTTCCAGATGGACTCGATTCGGCAGAATATCATAGGGGGATTAATCCCCTCCGCAGGTCCATCAACTGTTTTCTCTCTGAATGGCGCATACTATTTGTGCACCGTGAATCGCGGGAGGGATGGATTGCCTCAGACTAAGACAATCGGGCTCCAGTGTGAACATGCTACAATGAATAAACGCTGCGTGTCTTGCAGGTTTATTCAGTACATCCAAACCAAATGGAAAAGGGATTCAAGCGGGAGACTGATCAGGAAGACGACATACTAATGTTGTCCTCCCCGGGAGTAGATGCCCTGCTTGAGCAGGCCCACGACGAGGAGCTGACAACGGCGCCCTCATCTGACGTGGCTGAAGAGGTTGTATCAGTAATGACGGCAGCTTCGACATGCGTCCCGTGTCCTGATGTGATACGTGAAATCCCTATGGTCTGTCTAAGTAGTGAGCCAGCAGGCATTCATTCCCCTGTCCGAATTGCACCTGGGAGAGAAATGAGATGGAGGATTAAATCCCAGAAGGGGTGTTACTTTGTTTGTCAAGGCAAGATTATAGATTGCTTTCAGTTTATGAATATTTTGTCTGTAAAGACTGGATGGTTCGGCCCAGAAGTCTGTGACTCTTTCGGGACCGCACCTTTGTTGGATACGAAAAATCATGTTTTGGTTTTCAGCGCCAGCTTCCCACCTCAAATGATGGGATCGCTTCCACGTGGAGAAGCTCCGGTGATGGATTTAGCTTTATTCTTTCTGGGCGAAGATCCCACAGATGGGAGAAAGCAGTTTAAAGGTTATGTAACAACCCGCAGAGGGACCTTGTGCTTACCCGTAGCTGATGATGGCATTATGATGAGAATGAGGGTTGATGTGGAGGCCACAGTTAGGTGTCTGAGTGTTCAGCCGTTCCTGAGTGAGATGGATGCTAGATTTATGAAAGCTTGCATTGCTGCTCTATCTTTTTATGGTCCTTTGCCTCAGTACGTCCTCATGGGGGATGTTGCAAGCCCGAGCAACCAGTCAAGGCTTAGAAACAGTGGTCAGAGACAAGGGTCACACAAGGGTCAAGAGGACAGGAGTTCAGGACTTGCTGGTGAGGACAGAACTAGGCAAAGGGTCAAAAGACAAGCTGTCTTCTCTAGATCCACCCATGGACACACCCCTGGGCCTGCCCCTAACTCCACCTCTGGCGGGAAAAGAAGGAATGGCATGGAGTGAGGAGAGGTCCAGCTGGACCCAGGAACTCTCAGGAATGCTGGAAGAAGATCTACAATTTGCTACCAATATGAAGATTTATGACCTGTGCTCTCATTCCAGGAGTGCAGAATGTAACTTTTGTGCCCTCATGTGAATACTGCATGTAGTGAAATGATACTAAATGTCTTATGTAGAGCTAAAAAAGTGTATCTGGTGAATGACCCCTTGACCTAAACTGTCAGGAGAGAATGACTTGTGCCTCTTGCATTGTTTAGAGCAGTCTCAGAAATGATATAAAAGGATGCAGCTCAGATCGAGCAGGGGTCTTGAGAGGGGTCTTGTTCTTCAGTTCTTGGGGAGATTCTGAGAAGACAAGAGCTGGTGTAAACTGACTCTTATTTATTCATTTTGAACTAATTCCTCCGTGGGGGATAGTAGTTGTTTTTCACTTTACCCATTTTTGTATTTTGATTTTGTAATAAACCTTTTTTGAAAAAGAAACATAATCCTGATTCTTTCAGGTTTTCTCTAAAGCTTCACGTTTGGAGCCCTGGCCATAATTGCACAGAGGTAAGCATGTCGAAGATCGGTCTCTGAATTATCAGGACTTACTTTACAGTTTATAATAGAATAATATAAAGAAACCTTAAGATAAGGGAAGTTTTAATTTCTCTCCCCTTGCGAGTAACGAGTTGTCTTAAGGGTGATAAAAGCAAAATATTCGAGGTTATTTTGGCTCTGATTGCAGGTTGAAAAAGTCTCTAATCAGCTGGAAGGTTGGATTAATAAATAAATTGATAAACTTATGTTAGCCTGATCAACTAGCATAAATCATTTTATAGTTACCAACCTCCCACATAAGCTGTTAGGGGCGCAATTAATTCCGGGTAACCCAAACAATTGCTGAGAGGCTTGGCTTGCCTCCAGACTTCTCTCTAGTATCTTAACCAAAAGGTAACGAGTTTAAAAGAAGTGTAGCACTCTGAGGCTGGCTATTCGTGCAAGTCATTTCACCTTTAAAATAAAAGACAAGATTCTAATTAGGTAGTCCAAACCCGGGTCTGGTACGATTATACTCGTCGATACACCCCCGAACCCTGATGGATGCACCGTCTCATAAGTTCTAACGGAACTGGGTTTTAAAGGAACCGGTAAATGGGACGGGCACACGACACCCTGAGAGACCCCACGCATGCATGGGATGGAAATGCATCCGCAGACAGGATTCAAGTCTGCGACCTTACCTCTGCAAGGCAGCTGCACCACCATGTTACAGTTACTAGAAGCAAATCAAAAGACCGAACGAGCCAGTAGGTGGCAGTAAAAGAAAGAAAACAACCTGGCATGCAATTGGTTATTAAAGACGTTACGTCATCACCACGCGCCTACCGTCGAGCTAGGTCCTCTTAAACGCAGTTTCTTAAAAACAACAAATACCTGATATTTTGCAGGTAAGAGTTTCGTATATAAAAAAAACAACTTGTAAATTTTATTTTGTTTGTGTTTGATGTTTGCCGGTTATTAGTACGCTGTCATTCCGCATTTGTTTAATTTAATAACGTTAGATTAGCAGCGGCCTGCTAACTGCTAGCAACTTTTCTTTTCTTTTTTTATTTGAAACGTGTTTTTTGTATTCAGTGTTTCTTTTAGAGCGTAACACCAGATAGCTTTGCATGGTCTGACCACAACTATTTCTTTATATTAAGGTTTTTTTAATTACACTAATCTCCGAATCTGTCAATGACGTTTACAATCTTGCAGAGTGTGTGTTCTTGCTGTTGCACTGTAGAAATGTGCAACCGTTAATACTCTGCGTGATATTTTAGTCAAATGTGTGTGACCACGTTTTTGTGTCAGTCATGGCGACAGAGGTTTTGGAGAAGACGAGTGACGATGGTCCGGCATCGGGGAAGCCGTTTACCAGGTTCGACCTGGAGAAGGAGACTGAGCTGCGGTTTGAGGTGGAGGCAGGAGATGCATCAGAGCAGGTGGAGATGGAGCTCGTCACGGGAATGGCTGAAGTGTTCGGATCAGAGCTAAACCGGAATAAGAAGTACACGTTTGGGCCAGGCTCCAAAATAGCAGTTTTCACCTGGCAAGGCTGCACTGTGAATCTTTATGGAAAACCAGAGGTGAATGTTAGGCTGTTAGTCTGAATAATCACCCGCGTGCTTCCTTGTGTGTTTAAATGCTTTTCCGTTGTCTCTGCAGGTGGCTTATGTGTCCAAGGACACTCCTATGCTGCTCTATTTGAACACACATGCTGCCCTGGAACAGATGAGGAAACAAGCAGAGCGGGATAACGAGAGGGGACCAAGAGTATGTTTCAAGAAGAAGAAAGCAGTAGTCCAAAGAATTTGACATTGATATTTAGTATTTATTCTGCCTTCAGGTAATGGTGGTGGGACCTACGGATGTGGGCAAGTCCACGGTGTGTCGGCTGCTCCTCAGCTATGCTGTGAGGGTTGGAAGGAGGCCTACATTTGTTGAACTGGATGTCGGACAGAGTGGGGTAAAACTGCTTTTAGTGATCATAATACAGATTTAAACAAATGCTCAGGTGATCAGTCGCTTTGTTTCTGCAGGTGTCTGTCCCAGGGACAGTGTCAGCACTGTGCATTGAGCGTCCGGCTGATGTGGAGGAGGGTTTCTCGGTTCAGGCTCCCTTAGTGTATCACTTTGGCTCGACTACTCCAGGGACCAATATCAAACTGTACAACAAGGTGAGAAGTCTTTCTGCCACAAGTTTATCCTGTGCTGTCTAGGGTTGTCACGGTAACCGGTGTAGCGGTAAACCCCGGTAAAAAAGTTGACAATAATAATAACCGTCTTGTTTTAAAAAAAAAAAACTATATTATCTCGGTGGGTTACCGTGGCTGCGGTGTAGGCGCGGTGACCCTTACCAGCCACCGTATCATCTGCTGAAGTTGCCGGCGGCACATGCGCGCTTTATTTACAACCAAAACTTTCTTGAAGCTAAAGCTGAAATAATGGTCAAAGGAGGAGACGGCAGCACTCAGGACATTTTTTATCCCTCAAAGAAGACAAAGTGGGAAGTACGGGCATCTTTTGGATATTTGAATCTCATGACACATCTGCAACTCTACAGTCAACGCAAGGCAAGTTAGCGTTAGCGTTTTAGCTAAAATGCGTGATCCGATGATTTGGGTTGACGGAGAATGCAACGAGTCGCTATAAAAGCAGCCGCAGCGCCGCCACCTGCATATAAACCGTGTCTCGGACACCCCCATGTTGAAATGACGCTATGCATTACGGGGCTCCCAGGGGCAGATAAGAGTTGGTCCCTCTCCGAGAATAATTATGAATTTAACGATGATTACTGCCTGATGGCATTTTCCCACATCTGCAAAGCTCACTGGAAGGACACAAACCGAGGACGATATTTTCCTGATCTAGGGTTTATTACTCAAGTAAGGGTAAAAAAGTATCTGATTAGAAGGCTACTTGAGTACTGAGTATCATCTGATCTAATGTTTTTAAAATGATGACATCAAACAGACAAAAAATAAGAAGTTATGGGCAAATATTGGTATTTTAAAGACTAAAGGGAAAAAATGTAAACAAATAAACAACATCATTACAAAATAACACATTTTAGGCAAAATTTAGACACAAACTGAGGACAATATTTCCTGACATACAGGATTTATTTAATTGTGTGAAAATTTAGCACGTTTAAAAAAAATACCGCAATAATACCGAAAACCGTGGTAATTTTGGTCACAATAACCGTGAGGTTACATTTTCACACCGTGACAACCCTAGTGCTGTCATCATTTATGTTGATTTTCTCTAACTCTAGCTTTCTCCTGATGTGTAGCTGACGTCATGTTTAGCTGAGGTGTTTTCCCAGCGCTGTGAGATGAACCGGAAGGCCAGCGTGGGGGGCTGCATCATCAACACTTGTGGCTGGGTGAAGGGTTCTGGATATCAGGCTCTGGTCCACTGTGCATCCACCTTTCAGGTGGATGTGGTGCTGGTGTTGGATCACGAGAGGCTTTACAATGAACTCAAACGAGACCTGCCTCACTTTGTGCGCGTTGTACTCCTGCCTAAATCTGGTGGAGTGGTGGAACGCTCCAAAGAGTGCCGGCGGGAAACCCGGGATGAAAAAATCCGTGAATACTTCTACGGATTCCGTGGAATTTCCTTCTTCCCCTTTTCTTATGAAGTTCGATTCTCAGATGTTCGTATCTATAAAATCGGAGCACCATCCATCCCAGACTCGTGCTTGCCTCTGGGAATGTCTCAGGATGATACACAACTGAAACTCGTGCCTGTGACACCAGGGAGGGATCTGACGTATCACGTCTTGAGTGTGAGCAGCGTTGACGATGGGGATGAAGATGCCAGAAAGAGTATTGTGGAGAGTCCTGTGTGCGGTTTTATTGTTGTAACTCAGGTAGACACTCAGACGCAGGTTATGAAAGTGCTTTCTCCGGCTCCCAGGCCACTGCCCAGACACACACTGCTCATAATGGACATCCGATTTATGGACATGAAGTGAAACTTTGAGAGAGAGGCGGTGGGCTGAACATGCCAAACTGCAGCCTGGCTAGATTTTGTTTAATGAATAAAAGGTTAAATTGGTTTGTGCTGCAGATTTTACTCTGTTTTATAGAGCTGAACATACAGGTCTCTGACCTGTCTCCTGTAAACGCAGGGATGTATTTTGTCTTGATAAGCTGTTTTTAAGAGAGACCCTTTGCCTCCAATTGGTTAATAAATATTTTTATTGCCAAATTATTGAGTTGTGATTTTATTCCAGAAATGTCATTTGTTAATTTCCAAATGCTAATTTCAAAACTTATTGTGAAACCTATGAAAAATTAGATGGAGTACCCTTTAGTTATGAATGAAACTAAGTAGCTTTGGTTAGACTTTAAACAAACCAGTCAATTTAATTTGTAAAGTAGGTTATATGCCTTGCTTTCTTCTCTGGGCAGATCTTGCAATGTTCATGGTTCTTGCTTTGAAGCAAATTTTGACAAATGACCCTCACCTGTTTGCCATACTTTAATAGTCACTCTACCGGTATGGCAGTAAATGTTTGCTGGCTCCACAAAGCAGCCTTGTTTGTTTTGTCAGCACCTGCCAGCTCAGTGTGCTTTCTGTTTTCTAATTTTACGTTAATATCCTGATTTTTTTTCTTTTCATTTTTTTGGGGGGATAAGACCTGCACAAGCAGAGTAAGTGACACAACAAAGGGAAATTAACAGTGAGTACAGTTTTGCCTTTTCTGGATTTTTTTATTGTTGTATTTGAGATATCTGAAATATGAATTGAATTATGACAATGCAATACATAATCATAATGGCCATTAAAAGATTAAATCCAGCCAATTTTTGAACAGGAAAAGTTTTTCCTTGTTCACTCTTCCATGTAACATCATTTTAATCACCTAAATGTCACATTGAATCCTTAAAATTCGAATTCTGATGAGCATGAATTTCACTTTGATCCAGCGCTAATCTACAGCAAACATTACACACACACGCATAGTTGATTTGTACATAGGGGTTTGAATATGTGGTATTACAGTCTGCCCAACATGGTTTCTCTTGGGGTCACGCCCCCTCGGTCTGTAATTGGTTGTTCGTTCAACCAGATGAAAGACATGAACGACGGACAAGTTCCGGGATTCCGATGTCGGCCTAGCAGGCAAGCTAGCGAGTTTGCTAGCGGCTAGCTCAAAGAGGACTAAAACAACCCATCCACGAGACAACTCATACGTTCGACATTAGGTGAGGATTTTATCTGCTCTCTGCTGCGAGCATCTATCTCAAAGCCGCTTTTATTGATCTGTGAATCGTTAATAAAAGCCAGACCGTGTATGTAAAGCTCCCCTGCTAGCGCACTCTTGTAGCTGTGGTGAAAAGACCCGAACAGTGTTGCGAAAACTTTTCGGGGCTGGTGAAAGGACACTGAGTGATTCCCAGCTCTGTATCGCTCTCTCTGTGTTACTATTACTTCAGCTAAACCCTGACTGCGTGCTAGTTTTAAACGCTGTCGTGTATTTTAACTAGAATATTGCTGCGGAGAGCTGGTGGTAACGTTAGTTGCGACAGAATCCCGACGCTGTATTTGTTGGCCTCTGTCTTTAGTGCCTTGTAGTGTCTCATTAATCCTCAAATTATCGTGTAGTTTTCTAGATTTAAATAGAAAACACACACTGCTCTCGGTGTAGATGACCTTTAGCCACTTAGCAGCAAAGAGGTGCTGATTGCTGTGGTGACATGACGGACAAAGCTGGACACGGAGATTTTAGGATTAACATCCATTATAGTCTGTGGGGGGATTTGTTGTGGGGCAGATGAGATGATTAACAACAGGCACACTGACACTGTCTCAGCTACATGTCTTTGTTACCAGCACGGATTATTACTGTACGGTGGAGTGTGCCCAAACGATCAGATTACACCCCGGTGCTCCGGATCTGTTTTCAGTTTGATCTTGCCCTAACGGACTAGCATTCGTCTTGAGATGAAGGAAATTAGCAGGATGTGCGTGTTGGTGTAGCAGAGTGTTGTTTCCATGGTGATTTCATCAATGGGAGGGGTTTGGTTTGACCGCCTGAAGGCGCTGACGTTACAGCTGCCAGTTGAACAACTTTGTTTATGAGTTGTGAAAAGTGTGTGAGAGTCTAGCTTGTTTTATTACAGCTGGAGCTCTAACTGCCGATTTAACCCTTCACATCTGTCCTAACATCTGGGTTAGAATTTGACAAAGAATATGGATGTTAGATCACAGTTTTAATACTCAGTAGGGATGTAAAAAAGGGCGATACGCCATTCATTTAATCTTATGTATTTTTTTATAAAGCACCTTCCACGACCTTATCAGCAGACCAAGGTGCTGAATAAAATGGTGGATAAACACAAGAAACGATCATAAAAACGTCTCAAACCAGCTGAAAACGATAAAAGGTGATGGCAATGTTGTGATCCTTAATGCTGAAATGCCATCTCATAAAAATTAGTCTTCAAGCGAGACTTAAAAACTAGAAGGGATGGTGCCTGCCCAACACTCAAAAGGTAACTCATTCCTGAGCGTTGGAGCCAGAACGCACAATCCCCCCTCGATCTGTACACCAAACTATCGATATTTC